TTCAAGAGGTCCTATCATCAGTAATTACACAAATTATAATTTTGCGGGTTTGATTTTTATTACACGATGTTATTCCTTCACCGTGGAAGTCAATCGTGAACATTTGTTGAGTACATATTTCATTAGAAAAATTCGTACCCGCCTGAGATTCGAACACCGGTGCATCGCTCAACACGAATGCACCGGACGGACGTCTTATCCTTTAGGCCACGACGACTTAAACCGTGTCTATGGTTATTTTATGAAAAAGTCTATTATTTTGGTTTTGCATTTTATGTTATTGTGTGCTCAGATTATGTCATTAATACTGTATTTAAATAAATAAATTGAAGATTTTTAACCTATTTTAATATTATCAATTATACTACTTGAATATTCCTAATGTATACAAAAGGATACGGTAGTATTTAAGCCAGTTAGAAGTTTCGCTTCGTTTAAAATAAGAAGAAAAGCTCCCTTTCATTGAGTTACTGAGTTTTTTTCTTTCTTTTTGATATCACGTTTCTATCTTTGAACGGTTAGAAAGTCAATTTTTATATGCAAACAAAATAAGAACTAGATAATACATACAAAAATATGCAAATCTGACATTTGAGTTTGACGCATTATGATAATATAATACTACAGTGGTTTTATTTTTAGAACCATGAAAAATATTATTCAATATAAATTGTGTATAATTTAAACGGAGCCGTTTCAAGGATTCTCATGCGTTAGTAAGTACAGGACTAATTGGATTCGCCTTGAAACAGAACCGTAAATTGACACCAATTTATGCATTATACTGGAAAACATTCGAACGTTGGCCTAATGATGTTTAGTAATTGTTGTTTAGTTTTTTTTTAACGTTTTAAGGTCCCGCAGTAGTCGAAATTCGACTATAATTAATTGGAATTGTAAGTTTGTACACTATTATGATTGTATTTTATACTTCTATAATCACAAATTTCGTCAAGGCTACAATATAAAAAATATTAATAAAGACAAACAATATTTAATCTATTCACAATTTGACCACAGACGTCAAGAACAAAAGTTTGACAATAAATAGTATGCATGCGTGTGTGCGTCAAATACATGGTATGTAGTGTGTGTAATGTTTTCTTTATTGATTTAAGGTATCTTTTATGCATTATTTAAAAAAAATATTAGCATTGTGTACTTCTTCTCTATATTCTCTATAAGTGTGGAAAATATCATACTCCTCTGTTCGCGCAATTTTCGTAAAAAGGAATACAAAGTTTTTGCTTCACGTATTAATATATAGATATGATCGGAAATTGTTACTGCAATACGTAGATCTATGCTATCTAAAATTATCCTTTTTAAGATAAAACTGGTGACCCATTTTTCCGACTTCAAAAAAGGAGGAGGTGGTTCTCAATTCTACTGTATGTTTTTTTTTATACCTCATAGCTTTTAACTGGGTGAATCGATTTTGATGATTCTTTTTTTTATTAGAAAGCTGACGTTTCCCGTGTGGTCCCATTTCAATTTAGTCCTGTTCTGATAATGGAATACATGAAAAAAAGTCTAAGTCTTAAATTTGCATTAAGTACCTACCGTGCGCAACAAATACATTGAGTTTTTGTGTGTTTGACGCAATTTTTGTTATTTCTGTATAACGGGATACATAATATAAGTATTTCAAAGTTTGTCATTAACAAAACTGAATACAAACAACAATTGTTTAAAATTATTCATAAACTAGCGACCCGCCCTCGCTTCTCTTCGGAAACATTAAAACACACATGAAACCAAAAAAATAAATAAAAAAAATATAAAAAAAAAGTAGCCTATGTTCATCAGGGACAATGTCGGCTTCTAATGGAAAAAGAATTTTTCAAATCGGTCCAGTAGTTTCGGAGCCTATTCGAAACAAACAAATCTTTCCTCTTTATAATATTAGTATAGATATAGATAATAAGCATTGTGGTGCCCTCCAATGTTATGTTAAAAATTTGTATTGAGAGCACTAGAATTGACAAAAAAAAACGAATGTAGATGAATAACTCAATATCACGCCAACCGATTTCGATGATTATTGGCGAAAGAAATACCTATTGTGTTGTAGTTAACGAAGTCATTCTCCAATAACTGCTTGAAACATTTCTACATGTTACCCTCTTCAGGGCTATGAAGGCCAGACGGAATTACAGTCCATCAGACCAGATTTGGATCATAAGTCACTCATGGACATCGCCAAGGGAGAGTTAAACCCTATAGTTAAACCCTTTTTTACCGTGCAGAAGGAAACTTTGTATCCCTTTGCGTATCATAGACTCTAGAATATCCATTAAATAGGAGCATTGTCTATTCTATGGCCTTGTTACCGTATATCGTAGTCAAATAATATTTACGCCTAAATTATTAAAATTTAAGCGAAGGTCATACCTAACCATCACTAAAATTTGCATCCGTATACATCACGCATTTTTACTCAGCAAGAGTATGCCATTAAGAATGCAAGGGAAAGCAATCGTTTAGACAAAACGTTTTATTGTTGCATGTTTTTTTTTTATTTTTTATTGCTTAGATGGGTGGACGAGCTCACATCCCACCTGGTGTTAAGTGGTTACTGGAGCCCATAGACATCCACAACGTAAATGCGCCACCCAACTTGAGATATAAGTTCTAAGGTCTCACGTATAGTTACAACGGCTGCCCCACCCTTCAAACCGAAACGCATTACTGCTTCACGGTAGAAATAGGCAGGGTGGTGGTACCCACCCGCGCTGACTCACAAGAGGTCCTACCACCAGTAAATAAAAATAAATAAAAAAACCATAATTCGATTATTTATAAGAACGAAAAGATGTTGTCATAGTGAAAAAGTAATACGTAGCTTTCTATGACATACTATTGTTATGTGAACAATACGATAGTGTTGTGTTTATTAAATAACATACGATATCTGTAACAATCGATAATCGATACTTGTTATCATAACATCCGATCGATTTATCCAAACATTGCTTGTACCGAATGATTTCACCTTTTTCGAAATATTTAATAATGATAATAAAGTTGTGGTTGTAGTTTTTTTTTGTAATTTTATCCACACGGATTATTATTTCTGTGGAATAAACCATGTTTCTAATATAGTCATTGATATTTACATTACTACATAATCCGTTAAAAGCTGTTATAAATATTAAACTAAACAATTTTTGCTTTATCTTCGAAATAACAAACAAACTTTTAGTTTGATTATAAACAAATCAGTCAACTTTATTTTAGGTTTAGATTTATTTGAATAAAATTTCATGTGTTTTCATTACAAATTCAATGGGTGTGAGGCGACTTTATCCTCTTTTTTCATTAGCCTAAGTAAGCAAATCGAGTATAGCATAGTGAGTCACTTATGAAATTTAAAAGCAGAGGCGTAGCACGCGGATGCAATTTCAGTAGATTTCACAGCTTTTAGATTGTGAAATGTATGAATGTAATTATTTTATTAAAATATCTGTTTTTGTTGAATTGCTGCGAGCGGTATTAAAATTTCTTTTAAAAGCTCTCTCTAGCTCCTCAGTAATATATTTTCACTGGTCTAAGAGATTATGTTCTTTATCGTTACAACATTAAAACACAATTTTCCTGCGCTTCAATTACAATTCCGAAGCTGAGCATATCAACAGTCAATTATTCAAGTACATTTAAAAAATGAGTCTTGACTTAAAATAATGTGTCGAAGCTGAGGCAAACGGGATTTTCTGAATAGAAAGGGACGCGAAGACAAGGACGGCGTAGTCCTTGCGTCGTTATCGACTCCTGCGCGCGTCGGAGCGGCAACGTCGCACGAAATGTTTTGTAAACAGAAGCATTGTTGTAAAAGCGGAACGTGGTATCGAATGGAATTATATAATTTTTATATTATAAAATTTTCGGCTTTTATCCGAATTGTAATGTATAGTTATTATGATAAAATACATAATTGAATTACGCAACTTAGTCAGTGGTCTTAAAAAATACGATTATTACCCAGTACAATTATATTTAGATACCTACCTGCGTTTCGATAAGTTATCGTCGACCTAGTTGATAAAAAAAAAATGAAAAAAAAAAACTATAGGTAACTCGATTTCCGTTTTCAAATTGAATTCATTTTATGATTGAACGGTAAGTATGTAGCTCGTAATTTAGGTATTTGTGTTTTTGTACAACAGTGACTTGTTTCTTTTAGCTCGACATATTATTGTTATTTTTATATTCAAGGACGACGACTTAATTGAAATGTACGTCGTGGAAACAATATTTACTGTTTGTTGACCGTAAATAATATATTCACAGATAAAGTAAAACAATAATTATAAAAGAAAAGTCATATTCGTTAATTATAAAAGTGAGTTATACGAATATGTTCAAAAGCTATAAACAAAACAAGCGAACAGAATAAATTTAATGCAGAAATAATTTTCTCAGACGTCATTAACTAAATATTATACAGAAGAAAATTTTAATAAATAAATAAGTGGAAGGCGGTACGGGGTGGCATCGAAATCCGCCCCAGGTCGTTGACCCGTCGCCCGCCTCTCCGCCCCCTGGGTGTGAACCCTCCCCCGCGACGTATCGAACCTTCGCGGATGCTATGTCTTAGTATCTACGTTTTATCATTTTAAATACATTTAAAATCAATTTCGTAATACAACCACAATGTCAACTTAATCATGATCATTATTTTTTTTAGCAACCAATATAAAAGTAAAAGAGCATTTGGAAAATTAATTAAAATTAGATTTAAATTTTTATTGTTTTTTTTTTAGTATTAATCAAAAGTTATAATACTCAAGCCGTTTCCAAAAAAGGCGAAGGTTTTTAATATTACTCCATTATGCCAATACACTACTCACTACATGTACTATCCGCTACGCTAAGTGATTGTACAACATCTATGAAAATTGAATAAAGCAAAATAATTTGATACGTAACATCGCAACAAAACATATACACAAATGCTAATTACACTTCCTAAGAAGCAATAATAATATAGCAATATTTACCTTGATGTCTTGTAAGACCTGTAAAAGTTAATAAATGAATTAATTTTCAATTAAATGAGATTGGGGTATGTTTTGTTGTTATTCAGCATGTTTATGTTGTGCGGTTTAGTCGATTTGTAACCACGAAACCAATCGATTCGAACTATCTATATTGATTCAAACTAGGAATCGATTTCATCATTTTTTTTCAATTCTGTTCGTACTGGTCAAGATGTTAGAGTTAAGTTATAATATTATTATTTTGTCATCGGTCCTGTAACGCGGGCATAAATTATCAAGTTAATCGGAAGTCTTGAAGTCGTCGGGAGTGACGTTCAAAGATTCCATTACACACAAACAAACATACATAACAGCTAATAAAAGCGTGTTAATTACCGTCCATGATGCACACAATTTGTCTATCGTTTCCGGTACCAGGTTAACACTAGACCAGTTACGCCAATCTTCACTGAAAAAGTATCTAATAAAAGTGTACAGCTTGCTAAAATGGAACAGTAAATTTTAAACATACACATTTTTTGACATTCAGTTATTGACATTACAGATTATACAAATCTCGGTTTCGAGCAGTGCTACCAACATAAATAATAGCTTTTTCCGTTTGCAAACACTGTGTACCAGTACAAAAATGTTTTTATTTTTAAACGAGTTTCGAAAATTCAATCTACAACTTGTGATCGGTTCGCGCGCTAGTTTGTTTGCATGTGACACCTGAGTTTTGACGGCTGCAGAATTAGTAACAGAACTGCCAGCAGCGGGGTGTTAGCTCAATTAAAAATCTGAAGAGTTAGTTCTTGTCCATTATTGATGTAAAAACTGTATCGCCGTTGCAAGATGATAACTTTGATCACGTTGTTAATAATGGCAAAAGGGCAGACTATATCGTTTTTTTTAACTGTTTAAATGGTGAAACAATCTCAGACCTTCTTTAATGGTAACTAGAGCCACACATTGCGACGTTAATTCTGTTAACCTTTAAACATGAGGCCGGAGCCCAAAAACGTTCACATAACCACCTCAGTACACGGCTTTCAGGGTGTGCTAATTCAAAGGATCAATTAAACCACTCAAAAACAAAAGATGAAACTGAATAAGTAAATTGAACGTAAGACACAAAATCGCATGCCGATTATATGCCGATTTCTGCCGTGAAGCAGTAATGCGTTTCGGTCTGAAGTGCGGGGCAGTCGTTGTAACTATACTGAGACCTTAGAACTTATATCTCAAGGTGGGTGGCGTTTTTTTATTACGTTGTAGATGTCTATGGGCTTCAGTAACCACTTAACAGCAGGTGGGCTGTGAGCTCGTCCACCCATCTAAGAAATAAAAAAAATCTCTTCTTTATGGTTCCCTCACTGCTGAGGATTGCGACCACATGTAACTTTCCTCCAGAGTGTTCAGTCAAGGATGGCACGGACCGCATGGTATAGATTACTACCAACTGCTTTCTTAACCAGATCTGACCACCAGGCTGGTGTTCTGCCCACGGCACGCTTGCCTTCCATGCGACCCATATTTAAGAGTTTCTCTAATTCATATCTGGGAGACCGCATGATGTGTCCGAAGAAGCTCATAAGACACTTTTAACTGACGACATAGAGCCTTTTTTGGATGTTTAGCTCTATTAAAAAGGACTCGTTGGTTCTCATGGCAGTTCATGGTGTTCAGAGCTTTCTCAGCGACACAACATCAAAGGCATCATCACATTAACCACCAATTCAAAGGCATCGATCTATTTTTTGTCGCAAAAAGTAAACAAGGATATATTTTTTACCAACATTTGTTACTGTGAGAGAAAAAGGGGTTAGTTAGTTCTAACCATTGTGTTTAAAGTATATTTCAAGAAATAAACAAATACCTATGTGTTAAGCATTCGTATTGAAATGATAATATCACATTTATAAATACTCTACAGTTATACGTTGAAACTATTCGCATTGTTTTATTGTCTTCAGAAATAGACGAGTTTAGTTTGACTGTCAGTGGACGTTTTCATCAGATAATATGCAAGCCATTACCTATTTATTACATTTAATTTAAAATACGAGCATTTTTAATAATAATAGTTAAAGTGAAATGAGTATACTCGTATGCTGGTGATCAGTACAAAAGGTTATGAAAATATTGTTAAAATTATCTCCTTAAAATCCTCTTTGACTCGATGTAAGCTTCGTTAAACCTTGCTCAATGCAGCATAGGAACGGGTTATCGACCGGATATATATGTACCCGGGTTGAAGCAGATAAAAACCGGATACTATGCATACGGTCGATGTCGTGTCCTAGGTCGGCAACCACAATCGCTGAATAGCTTTCAATGCATTAGTATAAATTATGTAAAATCTTTGCAAAGAAATTCCACGGCGGCTTTCATGTTATTCATTTATGTATCTATCGAAGAAATTTGTGTACGCTATTTACAAATGTTAACTCAGTTATGGCAGAGCGTTCTAATTTTGTATTTCCCTTGTTAAATGTAGTCAGGAATTCACGACTATTTTACGTTCAATTAATATTTAATGGCTGAAATAAAGCAATCGTAAATGTTACGTTAAAAGGTAATATCCGGGTGTACCGGATAAAGGACGGTCGAGGTTATCGACCTGCGACCGGGTGAAGTGACCCGAGAACGTCTCCTAGAGAAGGATCCCAAACCGGGTATAATCGTTTATAAACGCCTTGAGATAGGTCCGGGACTATGCTGGCTTATTTGGAAATTTTTCGCTAACCGATACAACGAGTAGGTACGTTTAAGAAAATGTTATTACAGATGTTTAGAAATGGCCCTTCAAAACAGATAACCAAACGTAGACAGTCAAACTTGGATTACACGTATGTAAACTATTATTTATAATGAAAGACTTTTGCAAAATTAAAGAGCCGTGAAAATGCGCGCTAAATTTGTCACTTGTATTTTTTGTGTTTTTTTTTAATTATTTACTGTCATTTGTTTTGCGCCATGAAGAGAAAGGGTATTATTTAAGTACTACAGCGAGTAGATTAACCGTAATTATGGCCTTTACCGCTATATTCCCCGAAATATCTGCAGTTGCGAATTTATGAAAATCATGCTAAGAATCCGTTAAAGAATAGTATGTATAATTTTATTTCACTGCCACGTCTTTTCAGACGTTCAAGTTCAGTAAACAACAACCTTCACAGCTGCAGTTTAATTAATTGAAATTAATTTGTTGCCTCGAGTTGCGAAAATACGAAAACGCTTACTAAGTAAGGCACGATCGCTTGCTTATAGTAAAAACCGGTTGTCGTCACCCGACCCGGATAATCCAGTAATTAATCTGTCTACCTAATACAGCTGGTTACGTTCATTATCACCATTAAGTCTAGTTTAATTAATCTACTTTTTTATCCGGTTCGAAAATAACTACATAACTTCCCTAAAAATTAAGGCAAGTTGTTTAAAATTTTTCGTTACCGTAAATTTAATTTAATATTTTTAAGCATTATCTAATTTTAATAACGCTCCCTAACATGAATGTTGGTAATATTTGGTTTAAATTCAAACGAAATACCTGTACCATTTACATAACATCTATGAGGTATTTATTTTAATTCCGAAACATAATGTCGTGTTTTAACGCGTTGTCCGTTGCAAGACCTGCCGCGGACAATGCTTTTTTCAATTTAACATTCAAATGTCCTTGTAAAAAACATAAACTGAATACTAATTTGACTTTTGTTTAACAAATAATATACCCTAAAGGTGACAGCGTTCGAATAAAACCTATATAGTACCTTGGTTTATCTCTCACGTTTTAGTAACTCAAGTTTCAGTAATAAACCGGATATTCCGGGTAAAGTTCAAGAGACGTCTGCCGTGCGTCTAGTTGTATTCCCCGAGCGGCCGGATATATTTCACGTCGACTAGCACAAACCGGTTCTTTACATAATCCTCCAAGGTGTAAACACGCTAGGAACTTGTCGCGGCTTAAACGGCGGGTTTATTGCTTTAAGAGTTGTAAGCCGCGCCTTGCAATGAACTCCTAATTATTCAGAACCACCTGAATTTTTATATGATTTTCAGTTTATTTTTTTCGCAAAATACATTATATCTTAAACGACGACCTTAAACAATTCGTAAACAGTGATAATGAGTCTGTGTAACGCGTAAATATTGTACAACGAGAAAGATCGTGGAAGCGGAAAAGCCTTGAATGCTTAAAAATGAATCTATATAGTTGTACGTAACTTTATCCTTTATAGCACGGATGATTCCCGCCAAATTCGTTTCGCGCGTAAGGTTCGAAAGGCCTATAATGGGCTGCAAAGAGGTAGGCGTCCCGTCGTGAGCGCGTGACGCTGCCAAGTTCAAGGGCGGGATCGCAGGAGTGCGGGATGTCTTACGGCTGTCTCGATCCGGAGCCTCGAGGGAAATATGAGCAGAGTGCGGCCTGTGAATGAACAGCGTCTGTTTGTAAACATTCCCGTTGCGCTATTTAGTTTCGTGATTGATAAAGTTTCGGCCTAATCGAGTCGACTCGAACTTTCAGGTGTTTAAATATTGATGTTTGATTGAAATACCTACGAGCGGCTTTCAATGATGAATCACGGTTTAATTAGGACATTCGAAATGTATATTATATTTATTGGAAGTAATTTAGCAAAGACAGTTAATACAGCATTTGTTGCCTATGAACAAACTTCAGTGTTGTCAATATAAAAAACAATTGGAAGATTTAAAAAAATATATATCCCAAGAAAAACTACCTATTAAGAACAAAAATACAAAAAAAAATAGGTAGTAAGTGCGTATAATAATTCTAAATATTGAGGCGTCAGTGATTTTAAGCACTAGTTATCATTATTTACCTAAACGTCATAGAAAAAATCCACAAGAATTATCATAATAAAAACGTCATAGCATGACGTTACAATTGCGTGCAAAAGATAAGAACAAAAAACCTACCTACAACAACAATTATATAAATTGCTGGAAATTTTAATAATTATGATGTAAGCTCGTTTTTTTGTGAGTAATGGAGTTCACACATACCTGTT